TTTACCTAGGTTCTTTTTCCTAAAAGTAGGTGGAAGTTTCATATAAAGCAGGACCAAACAGTTGTGTGTCACAGTTGCTGGGCCTGGTGTGGTACCCCGCTCAGTTAGCTCCCGGTAGCATCGCCATGAATGCACACCTCCCTTGGGGGCTCTCCCTCAGTCCTCGTGCCAAGAGCTCTGATGACAACGAGCAGTGGGTGCAATGGGGACTCGGCCAGAGCTCCACTATATGTCCTCAGAAGCACTTAATAGCATTCTCCAAGTTGAAATGTTTGCTCCTGCTCTCAGGAGTTTATACATCCTCTTGCCTCCAGAATAACATCAGGACAAACAATTCAGCAGTATTTATTCAGAATGACTGAATACACAAAAAGATTTAGACTGAAGTCTATCAGTGCTGGCTCTCAGGCTTCTTTCTAGAAGTAAAAGACATGCTTCTGCCTTAAACAGTTCTCAGAAGTGTTAGGGAGTAAGGCATACACCAAAAGAAAATGGGCCTGAGTGTATACAGATGTAAAAAAGTCATGCTTTATGTACTTTATGCCTCAACTTTTAAAAAGGGGGCAGATCACAGTATAAGGCGTCTATTGCATGCCAATCAAATCATGAAACAGTACTTGGAGAATGGAATTACACTGTGCTGGTTAGAATTAGCTTCTTGGAAGAGGTAGGGTTTAATCCAGGGCTTCAAAGAAAAAAAAAATAGGAATTACACAAAGGTCTGAGAGGCCAAAAACTACATGGGGATTTGACAGAAGCACAGGGTTCGACATCAAGAAGAGGAGGAGATGGGACAGATTGCCAAAGGCTTGGGGCCAGATTAAGTGTGAACTTTACCCTGAGGAGCATGAGTCAGCAGAAACTATTGTCCCAGTGAAAAGAGATTAGAGCCTAGAGTAGGGCAAGCAGTAAAAAGAGAGGAAAAAGACCCAGGAATTCCACTCCTAGGAATTTACCCTAAGAATGCAGGAACCCAGTTTGAAAAAGACATAAGCACCCCTGTGTTTATCGCAGCACTGTTTACAATAACCAAGAAATGGAAGCAACCTAAGTGTCCATCGGTAGATGAAAGGATAAAGAAGATGTGGTACATATACACAATGGAATATTATTCAGCCATAAGAAGAAAACAAATCCTACCGTTTACAACGACATGGATGGAGCTAGAAGGTATTATGCTCAGTGAAATAAGCCAGGCGGAGAAAGACAAGTACCAAATGATTTCACCCATCTGTGGAGTATAAGAAAAGAAAAAACTGAAGGAACAAAACAGCAGCAGACCCACAGAACCCAAGAATGGACTAACAGTTACCAAAGGGAAAGGGACTGGGGAGGATGGATGGGAAGGGAGGGATAAGAGGAAAAATGGGCATTATGATTAACACATTATGTAGGGTGAGGGACATTAGGAAGGCAGTATAACACAGAGAAGACAAGTAGTGATTCTATAGCATCTTACTATGCTGATGGACAGTGACTGTAATGGGGTATGTGGTGGGGACTTGATAATGGGAGGAATCTAGTAACCACAGTGTTCATGAAAGTGTATATTAATGATACAAAAAATAATTATAAAATAAAATAAAGAGGAAAAGGCACTGTGCTTCTCCAACTTTGATTCGCATGGGCCACAGATGCACCTGGGGACCGTGGTTCAGGGGCAAACCCAATCCCCCATGTCTGCAGATGCTGCCACTGTTACTGGTCTGAAGACCTTTTAAGTAGCATGGATTTTAACTCTGCTGCACACTAGAGCTGTCAGGTTCTTTTTCTCTGTATAGGTAACATTTTTCTCCACAGTATTTTATAAGCATCATGAAGTAAATTGCTATAATACACCGTGAAGAGTTTTTACTTGCTTTGACAGTTCCAACTTGGTACATTATTCACAAAAGAAATAATTTTAAATACATTTTAATTAAATTTAGTTGTTTTTTCCCTCAGATCCAGCTGTCTAAAGGCATTTAACAGTTTTCACTTCTCATGATCTCATGTTCCTCTTCTACTGTTCACCATGAACTCCATGCCCTTAAGAACTCTGTGACTTGCAAGTTGTTTTAGCCAGGGAGAAGACAACAGATGAGAAATTAATAAACCTCATCTGTATATGTATTAATCTTAGGACCACCATGTTGAAGGACTTCTACAACATTGCTGGAAGCTACGTTGACTGAACCAAAGATTAAGGCCAATAGCTGGCAGAAATTTATGAATTTTTATTTTATTCCCTTATTCCTTAGATTTTTTTCAAAGAACTGGGGAACATATTCACATTCGGGGGTAGTTCTCACATTTAATTTTCATTGCACAAACTTGAAATCTGTGAACTCAAAATACCATTCAACATCAGTAACAATCCAGAAGATACTCCTGGAAATGTTCCTGGATGCCTCTCAGGTCTCACTAAAATCAGTGAGCATCAGAGCCAGGGGAACTTTGGATTTCCATCCTGGAGATTAGGGATGGCACCTGTGCCTCTGTTATCTGCACCCCAAAACCACTTTGAATAATGTTCAGAGGTACTCCCACAGCTTCCTTTGGAAAGCTGTCTTTAACCACATCTGTCAAGAACTTTTGATGTGTTTTTTTAACCACATTTCATTGTTTCTACTTATACTACTTAATTACCATCTGAATAAATTCACCCACCCACCTTCACCCTATCTGCATCCTCTTTGAAATTGGTTGCTTCCTAAACTCTAACTATAGCCAAGGCTTCATATTTCGTTTAATTTTCAGTTCCTTCCAGCTCTGTTCACCAGGGGCGACTGGTTTCTGTATCACATGCTCAGTATCATACGACTCCTGCCGAGAGGACAAAATTTCTGAATCAAATTATTGTCGCCCCCAAGGTGGGCAGGGAAGCAGCTCATCCCCCCTGCTGAGGCCCGCCAGAGCACTCTTTCCAGGAGCAGAAACCTCTCTTACTTCATCTTTCTTCATTGCTCCTTTCCTGCTAGACGGCCAGGACCTCAGTGTGTGTTCAAGGTGCTCCCCACTCCACCCAATTCAAGGCCAGCAAGGACTGAGCCAAACTGCACTGTACTTCTCAAACCAGGCCTGGGCCCAGATAGGGCCCTCCCCTCCCTGGGGCCTCCTGTGTCTCCACACTCTCTCCACTCCTGGGTCGTCACCTCCTGTGCCACTTGAGGTTGTATGCACTTTATCCAAACTCCTCCTCCTTGGGTACCAGCTCCACACCCAGGCCAATTCACCTAGCTGGGTGTGCTGTGCCTGCTCTAGAGAGGCCGCGGCCAATCTGGGTCCCTTTGGCTTCCCAGTAGCCTGCCACCTGACCATAGCACTGCAGTCCTTCTCCAGGAATAGGTGACTTTCTTTGACCACACCCAGGGCAGATGGCACGCAGTGCAGGCCCAGACACCACCCGCCACAACCACTTTCCCTGTGGTTATCTTCCAGCTGAAATGACCTCATTCCTGAGGCACTCCTCATCACTTCCTGTCTCTAAAAGGACATCCCTGATACCAGCTGAGCCACTTCTGCCCCTCCTACATTCCACCTGTGGCTCACCTGCCATGAGGCCTCTTATTGCAGCTCTAAGGTTCTGAAGCAGCTGGGCCTTGTGCCAAATCAAAGGTGCATGGATGGAGGGCCACCAAAATGTCACCCCAGTGCCAGGCCACCATTTGGAACCACTGAGGGCTTAGCTCTGTTGTAGAAACGAGCTAGAATGGCCAAGGGAACTGAGTGGTCTTGTGTCTTTGACCTCACTTTTGCCTGCAGTGAAAGCCTGCTGTGTAGGCTAGTGGGAGGAGCATGTGGAGATGGGGTGGTGACACGTCCCCTGCATGATGCAAAACGCCAGCAAGCACTGGGGCTTGGAGAAAGGCCTGAGCATGGCTTTACTTAAGCTACCCAGTGATGGGAACCAGATGATCCAGGGATGGACAGGCAGGGAGGCTGGGCTCCATCCCTCCTGTCTCAGTGACATTCCCTCCTCCCAGAGGGAGCCTCACCCTGGGCACAGGACACCCACAGCCAGGACCCCATGGGCCCTCAGGGCCGCCAGCTCCTCTCATGCTCTCCCCTGCTGAAGCTTCTGCTGCCCCTCTCTCCACAAGTGGTCCCTTGCTCACAGCTAACCAGTCCTGTCTTCCTGTGTCTTAAAAATCTCCAGTGTCTGTTGCGGGCTGGGCCTCTAGGTACCTGCTCACTTAGCTCTTCCAGCCGAGGGAAGAGGAAGAAGCAGACGTGCATTCATCAGTCAAATATGCAGGGCCAGGCCTGTGCTAGGTGCTGGGGATACCTGGGCCAACAAGACAAAGACCTGCCCTGTGGGTCTCACATTTTGGAGGAAGAGACTATAATAAACAGACAAACAAATGTAAAAATGTAAGTGCTATATAGAAAATAAAGCGAGTCTGGCATGGAGATGGACAGGGTGCCAGTTTAGAGGGGAGGTGGGAGAGGCATTTCAGCAGAGAGGTGCCTACAGGACCCCTGGCTGCTTCTGCCCGCAGATACTGTGATCTCCTTTCCTCCCCCTCACTTCTTTCATGGTTGGCCTAACACAGTGGACTGCTGGGACTGGGCTTATTACCCCCACAGAGTAAACCTGTCACCATGCACACTCACATGTCACTAGCATCTCATTAGGCATTATTACACTAAGAGCACATCTCTCACCTCCCCCTCTCATGTTGCAGCATGGCTTTCCTCTACCAGCTCAGTCTTGGAGGGAGGCCCATGCCCCTTCCTCACCCCCAACCCCACAGTGGTACACAAGAGGGAAGAAGGAAGCCAGAATTTGGAAAAAGAAAAAAAAAAAAGAAAAGGAGGCATCCCTCACTTAGCCCCTCAGTCAGGGATGCTGTGCCATCCAGGCAGACACATATTCAGGAAAGAAGGTGGGAACCACCTCAGCTCTCTAAGTGCCCCTGTTGGCCTGTGCTTGTGTGAGTATCCCGTGACCTTGCCCCATGGCCCAGGGGAAAAGTCATCAGAGAGCACTTCTGAGCATGTGCTGGCTTTCCTTGCAGCTTTCTGGAAAGAATTGACAGCGTCAGCTTGGTGGACTACACACCCACAGACCAGGTATGTGAGGTCTGAGCGTGAGCAAAGCCATCAGAAATGTGTGAGGTAGAGGAACTGCCAGTATTACTAAGTGATCATTTAAAAGTAGGTTAAGGGAAAAGTCCTTAAAGTAACTACTACGTGCAAATTGTGCTGTCTCCGGATATGGTGTGCTTACCACACCCTGTAATTCACCCCCTGATGTACCTGTTTAAAGCTTACTAGATTACTAAATTGCCAGTACTGAAGTGATTTCATTTGTGGAGTAGGAATATGCAATTCCCATTCCTCTTGGAGCTGTCAGCAGAAAAAGAAGCCTTTACTTCCCCAGCTTCATAAACTCTGCCCTTTCTGCTTTGCCCTGGTCTGAGTCACATAGTCCTGGTGTGACTGAGAAAGGTGCCCCACAGCAGGCTTATAAGGAGCAGAGAGGGACCTTCCATGGCCCCCGAACCTTTGACCCTCCAGCGTCTGCACAGACATGGAGAACCTGAGTTGCTCAGCTTAGGAGCCACCCAGACATCTCTAGAGCTGGTGAACACCAAAAAAGTTAGGGGGTTCCATGCAAACTGCCTCTCCAATGCTCCTGCAAAGTCCATATCCCTTGAGATTCAGGGGCTTTGGCCATGGGCCCCTCTGAAGGCTCTCACTTCTCTGCCTCCCTTGGAAGTCTGAGCTCCTGTCTTTGCCCTGAAGCCCATCTTTCTCTGAGGTTGATTCCCAAGAGCTCAAAATTATCTGACAGAGTGATCAAGCCTTCCTAGTCTTGAGTCAATCCCTTGAGGCTGTCCTGAATACTTCTTATCAGGTTGAGATGGGAGGAGGGCCTCCCATCTTCCAGAATCATTGCAGAGTGGCTGCTTCATTTTAACATCAGAATGTCCCTAGCATCTGACAAATGTGTAAGTGACACAGCTTTGTAAAACTATGGCTTTCTAATCCCCTTGGGACCACATCATCTTTTATCTTAGAGCAAATAAAAATATGCAGAGAAGAGGCAGTAAATCTAAAATTAACTAGCATCCAGTCCAGAAACTCAGTGGCTTGTGAATGCAGAGCCATGTTTGCCTTGGTTTTGTGCGTGTTCTGAACCTGGAGCAGGTCTGTTCCCAGAGCACTGAGCATGTGATGTGGCTGTCAGATGCTTGACAGTCAGTGGGATATACTCTTAAGTGATAAAAGAAAAAGTTCCCGAAGAAAATTAGAGTGCACCTATCCCATCTCTAAAACCAAAGCAGTACATTAGATGTGACTTTCTTGGGGTGGGGTGGGGGTGAGACAGAGAACATCTGTCTAAACTGTTAATGATTATTGTTTCTCATACAATGGGAGAAAAACTTGATTATAATGGTTGCATCCAGGGCTCTCATTTTGAAGAACAGCGATGTCACTTGGTCTGCTTCTCTCTTCTTGCACTCAGGACCTTCTCAGATGCAGAGTTCTGACATCAGGGATTTTTGAGACTCGATTCCAAGTGGACAAAGTAAACTTTCAGTAAGTGTGTTTTTGAGAGCACAGCCTGCAACAGAGGTGTGGGCAGGAAGCCCTCCTTGCTGGCCACTGGGCCTTGATGGGCATAGGGTCAGGGAGCCTGGCCTCCTGCCCTTGGGCCAGGGGGCTCCAAAAAGCATAATAGCAAATAAGCATCTCTGTCTTTTCAGCCAAGTAAATACAGTCTGTGTGGTCTATACAACATGGTAAGTTTAGGGAAGGGAGAAATCTGAGAGTCAGAGATACCTGAGAAGGTGGGAAGGATGGGGGCATTTGGGTGGGTACAGAGAAACTGCAACTGGAGAACCCTCTCAGGCAGAGGGCCATGTGGTGCAGGCCAAGAGGGGCCAGGCCAGCCCAGACCACAGGGCAAGGACTGTGAACCCAAAGAATAACAGGTGGACACCCAGGCTGGGCCAGATGGTGCAGAACCTGGGGTGCCAAGCAGTCGGCCTTGGTCACCAGGGAACAGAGCTCAGGCCCTGCAGCAGAGGAGGGAAGCACAGAAGGGCACCCTTGCCTCCTTGCCCCCCGAATAACTGTCATCCTGTTGTCTTTCCACAGTATGTTTGATGTTGGTGGCCAGAGAGATGAGAGAAGAAAATGGATCCAGTGCTTTAACGGTGATTTCTATGCTCTCTCCAGGAAATGGGGATGAATTCCCATGCCCACTCCTGCTACTATGTTCAAATAGCTTTGACTTAGGTCATCTATATGATTCCTTAAATCTGAGTCTCATAAATAAGGAATTTAAGCATCCCAAATTTACATTTGTCTTTTGCTAATATGGGTAGACTTCTGTTCAGGCAGATTATTGAAACAACCAGTCATGCACACAGTGTCTATTTAAGTCATTCTTACCATCCTAGAATGAAAACTTCCATGGAAATGAGTACCAGTTGGATGTGTACTTTCCATAACCCCACAATGACTGTCTCATTAAGATGCTTCCCTTTTTCTCTCTGCTCCCACTAAGACGTCACTGCTATCATTTATGTCGCGGCCTGCAGTAGCTACAACATGGTGATCCGGGAAGATAACAACACCAACAGGCTGAGAGAGTCCCTGGACCTCTTTGAAAGCATTTGGAACAACAGGTTATAAAAATAATAGTTCAGTCTCACCACTGGATTGCAAATTGTCTTTTCTTAAAACTACCCCTCAGCTCAGTTTAATTTTTATTCTACAGATATATTCATTCTTCCCTTACTGACAAATCCAAAACCATAAAAAGTATCTTTTTTAGTCCCTCTCTTGTATAGACATACTTAAAATGGGGAGTATTCTTTGCTGAAGCTGCAATAGTGCTTTGTAAAAAAAACTGAAATCTCTGTTTTGAAAGACTAGGGTTCAAAATTGGTTTTGTTTATAACATTTAGCAAGTACCAGTTTGAAACATCCACTAGATAATCTCTAAGATCCTGACAGTTCAAGAGCATGGCATAATCATGTTTGAAACTGCTACTGTGGCAAAGGGGCAGTAGTGACTGGTGGTACTCGTCCTGAGCCAGTTCTTAGCATCTATTAAATGAGAGAGAAGAGAACCTTTCCATCCTTCCCCTTCCCTCAGGCAGCGCCCTAGACATAGATCTGATTAACATCCAGCCGCACACCTGGAGCTCCTCAGACCTGTTCAGAGGCAGGCAAGGCAAGAGGAGCCAAACCAGCTGCAGATTATGTCCTGTGTCATGCTGATGAGTCGTGTATTTTGTTGTCGTCATTAACTTCTTCCAGTTCACTGACCCTTTTATCAATAAGCCACACTACAAAAATCCAGGTGTTTTCATTACATAAGTAAATCTAAGCTTTGGTACCAGTAAATGTATATCCCCAGTGAAGATGAATTAGGAAGTGCTAAACTGCTAAATCAATTTTGTTTATATTTGTTTGTTTATCATGATAAAACTGTCTTGCTTGCAGATTGAGTAGGGGGCCAAAATATTGACATATCAAATAATTCTAAATCCTGCACATTTTCAGAAAGATGGCCATTTTGCCAAATAATTTCACTTTCATGTACTAGTGGATGTAAATTTTGTATGTTTATTTCTGCTTTTCAGGTGGCTACGGACCATTTCTATCATCCTGTTCTTAAACAAACAGGATATGCTGGCAGAAAAAGTCTTGGCAGGGAAATCAAAAATTGAAGACTATTTCCCAGAGTATGCAAATTATACTGTTCCCGAAGATGGTAAGATTTCAGAACAAGTTTCTCCCAATTAAGGCAAAGAATTGTTCTTTCAATAGCCTTGTACTATTAATTCAAACAGTTATGATGGATCTAGGAAATTCAATTAATTGAAATCAACCCTCTCACCTACTGCCCCACCCTAAATTACTAGAGCATTTAAAACATCTATTTATTATTCCATTTGCAAATACTTCAGAGTTTGATTTTGCATTCACATTGTGCAGTAGGAGACAGGGAGTTTTGGGTGTGACTGTCATTTGCTGGGGTAAGCTCTGCTTTTGGTGCCCCAGTTGGGTCTGTTGTGAACTGGACCCTGTGACCCTGTGTCAGCCCTTCACGTGGACCTTCACGGTAACCCCACTGGGAGTTTCTGTTATTCTCATGTTTTCCTGGGGAATATGAGACTGAGAGAGGTAAGATCCTTGTTCAAAGTCACTCAGGTGGTGCCTTCAAGGGCAAGGCAGCTTTGACCCCTTCATTTCCAAGCCCACTTTCTGCAACCATGTTTATATCTCTTGTCTCCAGCGAGGACTCTGCCTGGGACACTGGTGATTTCCATTAGGGTGGCTGCCATCAGTGTGTTGTTGTGGGGACCGACAGAGTAGGGAGGTTTCCTGGGATGTAGGTCTTTCAGCTAAAGCCAGGCAGGTCTGCTGGGAAACCCAGAGGTGCCAGCAGCCCCCTTTCCAGGGCTGCTACTCAGGTTTTCATACATGCTGGGCCACCAGAGTCTCATAAGAGGTGTTTCTGTACCACTGCTTCTTAAAATTTGACTCCAAACTAGGTAAAGCAGAATAAATGGGACTTCCCTAGAAACTTTGGCCAAGATGTTGAGAGAATCCACCATCATCTTTGCACTAACCTCAGCCTGCCCATGGTGCACTTTCTGAGGCCGAGGGAAATGACAGGGCAAGCGGGTTGCCTCTCTGTTGCTGGATTATGGGTCTCCCAGCAAGCAGAGTCTTCTTTACCTTTTTCCAGTGACCAGTCCTGCATCTCCTCACCTCTGTCCAGTCAGCACTCCAGTTCTGTGGGGCTTACCTCCAAAAGGCCAGCTCCCACATGCTCCTCCCGCTTTCCCTCTTCAGTCTTGGTCCTGGCCCTCATTCCCCTCTTCTCAGCTGGGGAGATGATCAGAGCAGCTTCCGGCCCAGGCTCCCCAATTCTGGTCACACAACTTTCCAGAACATTCTCTGAACTTCTGCCAAAGTCACCTTTCTCAATCACAACCACAACCCTGCTTATGATCCCTACCAACACTGCCTCTCACACAAGCTGAGGCCAGGCCAGGAAGTATTCAAAGCTGTGTGCCACCCACCGAACCCACAGCAACACTGTGTTCCCCCAACACACTCTGACCTGTGCTCTCCCCCTGCTGCTCCCCTCCCCCTGCCCGGGCCTGCAAAGGCACCTGCCTGGGCCAAGCCTGGCAGGTCTCCAGGTGAGGGCTGATTCAGCACCTGCAGAGCTCCCCACCACCTGCTCCATGGGAGTAATGGTGTAATCATAGCAGCTGCAACAGAGAAGGGAAGGATGACAGCATGCAGACGAGAAGCCCAAATTTTAGGGAAATAAATTTCACAGGGTCACAGGAAATATTGAACAATCCCATGAATTTAGAATCGGCACGGGAAAAACTCTCTAGGAGGGCCTAAAGTCAGAGTGGTGGCTGCAGCTGATTTCAGGCAGGGGCTCCAAATGCTGCGTCGGTGGTAAGAACGGGGGAGAGGGGCACTTCCCAAGAGTGGGGCTAAGGGACGAGAGCATAGCCATGGCACAACCACAGCCATGAGCCTGGGCCCAGCTCCCTGAAGGCCATGGCTGCCTCGCTCCTCAAGGAGCTCTGAGGGGAGACAGCTGCAGGGCTGATGGGTGTTTTATTTAGGTGGAAGTTATCCCCCCCACCAAAAACAAAAAAGTTTTATCAGAGTCAGACTGTTAAAATGATATGGGAGAAGAGAGAAATGAAAGTTACATTTTGGCTTTTTGCCTAGCCACACATGCCTTCTAATGCTATGAGTGTACAGCCGTCCACCTTGTAATTCCTTTGTATTTTCAATAGAGTTATATCCTCATTTGACATTAATCAAATAAAATTCCATTTGTAATTTCTTCAGCAACACCAGATGCAGGAGAAGATCCCAAAGTTACCAGAGCTAAATTCTTTATCCGGGATCTGTTTTTGGTAAGCAATTTTATTAACCTTTGTTTTCCTACCACCTTTGAGTTATATCATTGTTTTCAATTTGAAAATTAGTCACCCGTTCACGACCTCATTTAATCTCTCCCCAAATTAGGAGATGAGAGAAGGTATTGTAACTTCCCACCACAGCCGAGTGCACTGAGATCAGAGTTAGACTCCTCACCTGAAGTCACACATTTTCCAAGCAAGAACAGGGGGCCCAGTGCTCCTCCCACTGTGCCCAGGCCCAGTGGATGGCACAGAACCCCACTGGACTGAGTTCACTTGTATTTTCCAAAAAGGAAAGCATCCTTCAGCCACGTGCACCCACAGTGGAGCAACCCTCATGCCCATCCAACACCCAAGGCAAAGGCTAACATGAAAATGGGCCTGCTCAGTTTCAGACATTTGCTTTTCTTTCTGCTTTTCATTTTAAGATGATTCCAAACTTACATAAAAAGTGAAAGGATTGTACAACTAACTCCCATATACTCTTCACTCAAACTGACCGATCAGTAAAATTTTGTCACATTTGCTTCAACTTGATAATTTTTTTGTCTTTTGAATAACCTACAGTATGTAACTGGCTACAGGTTTTTACTAGTTAGAAACTAGATGCCAAGACACACCCAAAGGCATGTTCCCAGTAGCACCCAACAGCAAAGGGCACTGTGTGCTTCTGGAGAACGGGGAATCTTAGCCTGCCTGCAGCAGAGATGGTGCGTGGTATGGGGGTGAGGTCCTCAGCCAGGCTCCTCAGGACGGTTGTAGACCCCCCTCGCCACCATGCCCCCTGCTGGTCACCTCTTGTATCCCGTATTCAGTTGGAAAGTAACAAGGGTAAGACACCTCAGTGTTCCCCAGGAAGTTAAGGGTAGCTCTGTAATGAATAAATGTGGGAAATGCTGTGTAAATAAAATGAGGCAGGGTTCTGCTGTCAGACCTCTAATGCACACTTTGAATCTCATCAATAAGGCACAGTATCTTGCAAGACCATGCAATAATAAAATACGTAAAAAGTGTTCCATAAAATGCCATCCTTAAGAGAACTAAAAATTAACTAAGAGTGCATATTGGCATTTAAAGATCAGAAACAGCTACATACTCCTCAGAATAAACAGGCATGCCACCACCATTCAGACCTTAGGCAGAAACCTTTTATTTTTAATCAGTGGACAAAATATGGCTTGTATACAGTTTGTGAATCAGGGAAATAAAGGCATAGGGATCGACTTACATTCTTTATTGAAGAATTTGGGCCAATGATCCATCTGAGTTTTGAGTTGAACCCCCAAACTACAGACTTAGAAAGCCACCAGGACAGGTTGCACAAATAGTTATTTATCAGTATTTAATCTGGACGAGAGCACATCTTGCTCAGGTGAAACAGTAACTTTGGTAATGCAGACCCCAAGGGCAGGTGCAGAGTGAAGGTTGTGAATGGAGAGAGGAAGGTGCAGTGAGGAGAAGCCCTCTGAAAAGGGCCACATGCTGAGCAAGTGTCCTCCTGGAATGGCGTCACACGAAGATGAGGCTGCCACCAGGACATGGGTGATGGGGAGGGGAGTATGGACCATCCCCAAAACAGGAGGAACTTATACTGGAGAGAGCCAGGAGGAGGGAGGGCCAGTGGTAGCCTATATGTCCTGCCAGTTACCTCAACCAAGCCTGTCCCTCAAACTGGAAACCACCTGAAAGCCCATGTGCAGACCTGGGCCAAAGTCTCCTCCAGGGCCTGTGTCACCAAACCCTTAAAGCAGAAGGCAGTGAGCTTGAGTTGGCACCCTGAACTTTGATACCCATGGTATCAGTTAGAAGCCTGCATGTTTTCCAGGCTATCTTCCTAGTACTTTATGAGCTCCCTCAGATTTCTTCCATCTTGAACATTATCTCCTAAGAGAGGGCAACAGCCGGGTGACCCAGCCAGGCAGTCTGGAACTGCCCAGCTTTCCTTGACAAGCTTCTACAATTTTAATGAAAGTCAGCGTATTTAAACTGAAGTTTGCAAACTTCAGCAACCTTTGTAATGACTCCATTCCATCTTTGCTGTTCCAGGCAGAGACAAACTAGTCAGATGATTACAGAAGCAAGCCTATTTTTCATTCATTCACTACACACTTACTCTGTGTGGGCCACATACTTCACCTGGTGCTTTAGGACTGAAAAACATGTAACCTAAACCTACACATTTCAGTATCTATAAGTTTAAAAACATCTTGTTTTTTTAATTGCTCAAAACAAACTCAACTATTGCTAAAAATAAGTCTCTCCTCCTAGGAGGAGTTTCATACCCTGATGAACATATTATACCCTTGCAGAGTCCCAGCATTTCTCCAGTTGCTGTTTCCCAAGATACTTTGCAGAAAAAGAAGGCGTGGGTGTGGTGGGATGAGGAGGACATGCAGGGAGTCCAGCAGGCACAATGAAAAGAGCTCAGCATTAGTTAGCTGGAGCTGCTGCAACAAAGTCCTGCAGACTGGGTGGCTTAGGCAACAGACATTTATTTCTCATTGTTCTGGAGGCTCGAAGTTGGAGATCAAGGTGTCAGTAGGATTGGTTTCCCCTGAAGCCTTTCTCCTTACCATGTGGATGTCCAACTTGTCACTGTGCCTTCACATTGTATCTGCACATGGCTTTCCATGGTGTGTCCTAATATCTTATGAGGACACCTATCTTACTGGATTAGGACCCCTCCAATGACCTCACTTAATTAACTCTTTAAAAACCCTGTCTCCAAATGCAGTCACACTGTGAGATGCTGGGGGTTAGGAGTCCCACATAGGAAATGTCGGACACAATCTAGCCCATGACAGCCTCTCTTGACACTGCCCCACTGATGCAAATTAGCATGTCACTCCAAGATGTCCTCATGAATCATGACTGATGACATTGAATTCAGTGTTTCCTAGTTTGGCCAGAGAGCACTTTTTTCTCAGAACACCCATGACCCTTCCACTGCTAACCAGGGGGCACCCCTGGAAAGACTGAAGTTCTTTGTGGTGGAGGAGAGTGTGGGCAGTGTGCCTGGGTAACAGGCATTATCCATACAGAACCACTAGCCATGTGTGGGTATTTACATTTAAATTCATTAAAATTAAATACAATTTAAAAAGGCAGTCTGTTCCATCAGTTAGTAATAGTGCCTATTGTATTAGCATGGCAGATGGAAAACATTTTCATTATTGTAGAAAGTTCCATTGGAAGGCCCTAGTCTAGACTTTCACTTCTGAAAAATTCCCCTGAATTCCATTTTCAGCGGCTGTCTGTAAATGTGTGCCCTCTCTCCGATGAACTCTGCTTCCATGGGCAGGAGGCAAGCTTGAGGTTCTTTGGGCTTCCAGCAGCACGTTCAGTATCTCAGCGCTCCCTATAGCTAACTGTTCTATGTCAAACAAATACAACCCCAAATCCTCTTGTTTTTGACTAAAGTGTTGCCTGAATTCTCCAAGAATGAGTTGGGTGGGGGCAGCATTCCCACATTCCTGGGCAAAGTGGCCCGGGCCCCCAACACAGCAGCTCTCTTTTTGCAGAGGATCAGCACAGCAACAGGTGACGGCAAGCATTACTGCTACCCTCACTTCACCTGCGCTGTGGACACGGAGAATATCCGCAGAGTGTTCAACGACTGCCGTGACATCATCCAGAGGATGCACCTCAAACAGTACGAACTCTTGTGAGGAGGTAGCCGGCACCCTGTCTTGCTTACTGCCTGCCTGGCAGCCCCGCAGGGTACAGCATTTATTCCAGGACTGCCTGTCTGTTGGCCCTCAGCTGTGGTAGTGAGTAACGAACTCCCAGTTTCTTCCAGCTGCTGTCTGTCCTGTTTTGTGCCGACTCTGAGTGTAACCACCAAGCCTCTGGCTACCTCTCTTCCCCTCAGGTTTGGTCTGTAGCTTTTGTTTTCAATGAATGGGACCTTCCACAGCCTGCCTGCCCCCAGTAGGCTGTGTAACTGCAGACACTCTCCCTTGGGAGACACTGCAGTGATGGCTCTGGGTGAGGGCCCCTTTCATCCATTCATTCTGTGATTTATTGACTCATCAAGAACTTGATTGGCGGGAGAAACACACTTTTTCCCAAGTTACTAAGCATGATCATAGAGGCATACATACATAAAGCCACACCCTTTATGATTTTAGCTTTATGAAGCTACAGACAAACAAGTGGCCACTCTTTCTCATCCACCTTGGCCCAAGACTTAGGGAACACCCTAAGCCACACAGAGGAGAGAAACCCCATTTCAGTCATATTTAGAGTCACTGTCAGCCTCAGGCATTTGAATCAGTGCTCCTTTGAGCCTTTTACATTTAAGCAGAAACCTACCGCATTCACTACTGCAAAGTATGTCCTGTCTAGAAATAATTCTCTAGGCTTTCACAATGCGTGGGTGATAGTTCCTTTAATATATTGTTTTTCTTATTGTTTTATTGCTGGTTTACACTGTACAGACCTCAAAATGTAATATTATTTTGTATAACTACTAAAGAAAAATCCTTGTAGATCTTTGTGCCTTGATTATGGCTATACCTGTAAAAGAAGTGTGTTTTTATTGTGCTGAACAGCTAAAAGTCAATGTTACCTGCTGCTTGCTCTGAAAAAGAATGAATGGTTATCTGTAGAGTTTAGGATATTTTATCAGGTTATATATAATACACATCTTACAGGCAAAGCCCTAACCACATCACAAGCTTCTTTCAGGGAACCAAGGACTTTCGTTCTCTCCAGACAATGTTTCTCAATTATTTTGCTAAAGACTTTTACAAGTTCCCTAAGTGGGAATAGGTCAACCATTCCCTTATCAAAGCTTTTGACCACTGGTTCCACTGTAAACAAATAGCAGGAAAAAGAGTGTTAAAGTGTGTGTCTGGCCTAGGGGAGTCAAAGGGTAGCATCTTCATTTGCCTATTGAAGAAGAAATATTACAAAACCTTTATCTGAAATACAAAGTCAAAATATTTGACTATACTCACACTGGACAGATTTGCAAACACAGCCTCAAAAGTAGGGTACAGAGCAATATCAAGAAAGCAAGAATCACTGTAGTGGTAATGCTTCAGATTCTATCTACATCCACAGCTTTGAGGAGAGTTGCTTTAGATCAAAGATAACCTATCTATAAAGATGTCTGAAATTATATTTCAACAATATGAATCCAGAAGTGACAGCTTAACCAACATTACTCATTAACTTCCATTTAGTTCTTCTTTGTTTAATATTTTAAACTTTGCTCTTTAAATCAGAATTTTATAATCTTTTATAAATGCATCCAGATTTAACTACTTTTCGATAAAAGAATGACAACTTTATAGACAGTCAATGCAACAAACACATATTTTATCTCATTATTTCTGAATTTTCATTATTCATCCTTAACTGTTTTGTAAAACTCTTCATCTGAAATAAGACCTATAAAATAGAAATTATTTTCAGTTTCCACTGTATTTTCAAAGTAAAATGTGAAGAAAAACTAAAAAGATGCACCCCACACATACAAAAAATGAAGTTGTACTTTGTTATATGCATTACTCAATAATTCGTTACTAAACTTCCTATTTTAAAGTTTCATTTAAGAGCCAGGCTCTTAGAAAAAACAAAAGGAATACATTTTATCTGGCTTTAAACTATCAAGACACATTTATTTTTAAATACCAAAGCTACTTCCTAGTCCATGTTTCCAGTTTCATTTGATCCCTGACAAGCATTAAATTCAGATTTAACAACTTGGTCTGATGGAGAGAAAATTACATGTATCTAAAAATCCAGTTCCATTAATTTAGCACAGAAGTACAAAAGTCTGTGAAAACAATATATTCCTGCTTATAGTATCTGTACTTTTATTTCAAGTGTATAGCTTTATAATATCTTTATAATATATAGGAATTTGAGAGCCACTTCAAAGGGGCACAGAAGCAAGCCCATGTTTGTGTACATATAATCCCAAGTGTGTTCCAGGGCTGCCAGCCCTGTCATGGGGAGGGAAGGGCTGGCAAGTGCATGCAAGTGATGACACTGGTAGCTTTTACATATTGTACAGATATCATCTTTGATTATACATATATTTGATAAAATGAGAAAACAGACTTGTAGAGTACATGTTCCATTTTTATAGCATGAGAACAATACAATCAACTATTTATTCTACAGTACTGTGCATCAGTGATTTAGAATTTTTAGGATGTGCACAAAGACAGCCACCTTTGGCCTCATCTCAGATGAGCACTGACTGGAGTTGTCTTTGATATTTTTTACTAATTGCAAAAGGTCTCCTGCTCTTCACACTGTCTTAAATTTTCTGAGCAGCTTCCAACCAGAAACAAAAGGTGAGGCTAGAAGCCCACAGTGAACTAATATGAGGACCACCAGGAATGCAGCTGCTCCACAGTATATGATCAGGACTGTGTTCTCGAAGGGGAGGTAGCACTTGACAAGAGCATACTCTCTCGATGTCATGCTGCCCTGAAAAGGAAAAGAGAATGCTAACACTGCAATGACAGCTCCAGGCACAGTGCCAAACAAGCCCAATTGAGAAATAACAGAGGAAAGGCAGCCTTGGTTTCCTCAGGTAGGGCAGAGAAGTGGCTCCCCTCACCTGAAACTCGGGGGCACAGCCTTGTTTTGTAGACATTTCTGCTAGGTGAGATGACAGTGGAGGAAGGTTTTCATTTACTTTAAATTTGAAAACCTAATGGTTTCCCCCTCTTTTTATGAAATAAAAGAACCTGACATAGAAGCATTATGAACTGGATGTGAGAGCCCATGGGTAAATGAAAAGAGCTGAAACATTAGGCGGTCACTAACTGAAACACCATCTTTAATCAGCCTATACAAGCATGTAGCATTTTCCTGCCAGAGCATATTGGCATGTGAGAAAATCAGACAAGATGACTGAGTACAGGTGCTGAAGAGATGATCCAGTTTCCTTAGAAAATTGAACATACACAGCCTCACATTAGAGGGCGCCACTGGCCTGAAGGATAAAGCCCTCTGTAAGATGCTCCCCCGCCCCTCCAGGAATAATGCTGAGTTTATTCGTCCCCAGAGAGATGCGGGGACGGGGGGCAGCCTATCAAACTGTTCATGTGGAGTGGGGGAAGTTTATTTATGGCTTTTGTCTATTTTTACATATTGCAGCAATTAAATAGTTGATTACTATGTTGACTTAAGTACTTATGAAAGCTTTCAGATGAAAATAAACATTCACAATACCATGATGAAGCTGGGGTTGTTTCTGTTCCTCCAACTGAAAGACGGCACGCTGAGCTCGAGGACGCCTGCCCCGTGGAGCACCTCGCAGGCACTGTGCGTGTGGCCACTCAGGACCAGGCGTGGCTGCAGCCACCACAGCAGCTGCCGCCCACGAGACAGCACGGGGTTAGTGCCCAGCAGCCAGCCAAGCAGGCCCCGCTCATCTCATAAAGGCAAATAGGAGATCCCTGCTTGATAGGTCTGCTTTCCCTTTTCCCTAATATCCTTCCGTTTTGTTTAGACTCAACCAAAAGTAAGTCCAGGCTTAGGGAGAGTCTCTTCTCCTCCCAGATGTTATATTTTGAATTACATTTTATTTTTATAAATGTATACATATTTTCTATATATTACAATATTATATTATATGTATATTTAAGAGAGCTCATTTCAGTCCCTAAAAATTGAACTTTGAAGTTCCATTCACATTTCCAAATATATTTAAGTTGGTGGAAAAACTGAAAGAAGAACAGCCAAGAATATTAATAACTTGAGACTAGGAAATAGAAGTGGATTTACAGAGGGGTCATGAAATCTGAGACACGGCGAAGCCCTGCCCTGGGTCCAGGTGGGTGACTGTAGAGTCACATGCCTGCCCACCCCTCCTTCGCCCCCCCTTGCAGGATAACCTTCTGCGAAGCCTCCCGGGAAAGCACGTCGTATCTCTCCCTAAAGGGGACGTCCTTTTCATCTGGAGGTGCTGCGTCCTCCCCAGTACAGTTGGCGTCGCTTCTCCGGTAAAGCGGGTAATGCTGTGGGAATGAGAGGGGTCAGAGGTGACTCGATGAGACCCTGGGTGGTCCTGCCAAATACGCAGTGACCTTCCCCCACTCACCTGCAGCAGGACAGGGGCCGATGCTGGCAGCGGCTGCCCATCTCCACAGGGGCTGGGGCGGGGTCCCTGCTGGGCAAGGACAGGGCAGTGAACAGCCTTTAACAAATAGGAGGAAGGGAAGAGGGAGAAGACAGATATACAGATACGCCAAGTGCGTCACAACAGAAGGCACCTGCATCCTCAGATGGTCCCTTACCTCTAGGGAGCAGTTCAGCTTGTGAGAGATTTCGATGAGCTCAGCTTCTGCTTCAGAGCAAATGGTGCAGCCGTCCCCTTCCAGTGCAACGCTGTTGACCATCACAAAACTGAGGCAGATGGGAGAAAGCAGAGAGTCAGGGCCCCGGGTGCCCCATGTACTGTCTTCTCACAATGTTGTTCCCATGAGATGAAAGCTGAGCACCTACCGTGTAGAGCAACACTCCCCGTATCAACTTTAAACCTCTACTGGACTACTCTGTGCCTTTAGGTATGAGTTGATATTGGAGAACAAAATAGCATTAAAGGGAGTGGAGTTCAACACATGGTAAAAGAATTTTTAACCTTAAATTTGGGAGAAATCTCAGAATATAGAAGCTCTGAGGTCCAACTATCAGCTTCTAACCACATGCATGTCCTTGGGCAAGTTACTTAGCCTCTGTGCCTCATCTGTAAAAGTGGGGCAGTAACTGTCCACCCATACCATCAGCTTGTTGTCAGGATTAAATGAAATAATATGACAGAGCCTGCCACTAGGAAGTATTCAGTAAATGTCAGATACTATTATTACTATGTAAAGTGAACTGAGCAACATTTGGTAAGGCCTATACACTCAGCAAGCAAGGCAGGGTGTTGAGGGCTGGTGGGCAGACAGAAAGAATAAAATTCCCTCCATGGCCAGGCAAATTCATAAAATGACCAATTCCTGTGGGTTTTTAAGGAAAACCAGGGTGGTGGCTCCAGTGGTGACCAACAGCAAGGACACCTAAGCTACCTTCATCAAAAACTGTAAACCAGGCCACACAGAGCATGGGTGGGATCCAGTGTGGCAGCCTAAAAAATTAAGTTTCCAAGGACTAAAGGACTTCATAAGAATTTACAAATAATACTCACTTAATTCCTTTCCAAGAAAACAACCTTCCAGGGTTGAAAACTTTCTCAAATCGTTTTATTTTGTATGTGCTCATCCTACATTGAGTTGTGAAAAGAAACATTTTTCAGAACAAGCTATATTAGAACCTCTTAAAAGTTATTATGGACACAGCAAATAACCTGGGATTTGAGAATCAGACTAGCATTATTAGTTAGGAGCTCCAGCTGGCCCCCAGCTATCCAGAGGGAAATATTAGCTTCCCTACTAACTACTTATTAGCCTGGGACAAGTGACTTAGCTTCCACAGCCTCATTTTCTTCACAGGTACAATGGGTAAAATGATAGGACCATGGTAAAGATTAAATAAGTTAGTATATGGAAGTAAAGTGCTTAAAAACAGGCCAGCACATCATAAGCACTATATACATATTAGCTATTAAAGTCTAAATGGCCTTTTTTATGATTCCCGAATGAAATAACTGGCCATGAAATGTAAGTTTCAAGCTAGAATCACCCAAGGGCTCATAGAAATCATTAATTCAACAGAGATCTGTTAAGGGTATACAATGTGCTAAGACAAAAGTCCTTGCCCTTGTGAAGCCTATGCTCCAGAGCTTACATTTTTTGAGGAAAAGAATGTCCTCCATATGGCACAAATAAGCCTTCTACCTAAACTGTAGTAGGTTTAACATAACAGTTAACAAGACCTTTTGGGGTACAATGTTTCAGTGAACTACTTACTGATAGTGGAAGCCAATGTCATGGTTGCCAGCAACTACCTTCAGCTGCACATGACGTGGGTGTCTGAACATTTTCTGGAACCGCTCTACATCATCCTCCCAGGCCTGTACAGAAAAGGGTCACTGCTGAGACCCAGAGAACCTTCTCTTCCCTGTGGCTAAAAACACACTCGCTATTTTGATGGTAAGAAGTTCTTCCCCTGTGTAAATCAGATGTTAGTTAAAGCTAATGTAGAACTGAGAATTTCTAATTCTATGTCATACTTCTTTCTCCAGGTCTAACTTAATATTTTAATTACTTAATTTGATGCTAAATTCTAATTAAATGGCACCCCAATCTTAAAACTGGCAATCCCTAAAATATTTGGTTCACACACCTATTATTTGAAGATCCCCTGAGGACCATGTGTGTACCCCAAGTTGAGAATCACTTCAGATCTGGACATGTTATAAGAACAGGCTCTTAGGTAGAAGAAAACAAATCCTACCATTTGCAACAACATGGATAGAGCTGGAGAGTACTATGCTTAGTAAAATAAGCCAGGCGGAGAAAGACAAGTACCAAATGATTTCATTCATTTGTGGAGTATAACAACAAAGCAAAAACTGAAGGAACAAAACAGCAGCAGACTCACAGAACCCAAGAATTGACCAGCGGTTACCAAAGGGAAAGGGGTTGGGGAGGGTGGGTGGGAAGGGAGAGAGAAGGGGATTAAGGGATATTATGATTAGCACTATATTATAATATAGCAGGGGTCACAGGGAAGGCAGTACAGCACAGAGAAGACAAGTAGTGACTCTATAGCATCTTACTCTGCTGATGGACAGTGACTGTAATGGGGTGAGTGGTAGGGACTCAATAATAGGGGGGAATGTAGTAACCAAAATGTTGCTCATGTGAAACCTTCATAAGATTGTATATCAATGATACCTTAATAATAATAATAATAAAGAACAGGCTCTTAGGAAAAAGTGAACTCTCCTACACTGGTGTGAATGTAAATTGGTGCAGCCACTGTAGAAAGCAGTATGGAGGTTCCTCAAAAACTAAAAACAGAAATGCCATACAACCCAGTAATTCTACTTCTAGGAATTTACCCAAAGAAAACAAAATCCCTGATTCAAAAAGATATATGTACCCCTATGTTTATCACCACATTATTTACAATAGCCAAGATTTGGGACCAACCTAAGTGCCCATCAATAGATGAATGGATAAAGAAGATGTGGTACATATACATCATGGGATATTATTCAGCCATAAAAAAGAACCTGCTATTTGCAACAACATGAATGATTCTAGAGGGTATTATGCTCAGTAAGAGAAAGACAAATACCATATGATTTCACTAATTTGTAGAATAGAGAAACAAAGCAAAACAAAAGGAACAAAACAGCAGTAGACTCACAGACACTGCAAGTGATTGTTGGTTACCACGGGGAAGGGGTTGGGGTGGGTGGGAGGGAAGGGTGAGGGGGATAAAGGAGCACAAAAATTCTCAATCATGACATAAGCTGGTCACAGGGATAATAAATAGGACAGCTGGCGAATGTAGTCATTGATTCTGTAATATCTTTCTATGTTGACAGACAGTAATTGCACTACTGGGGGAGAGGATGTAATAATTTGGGTAACCATTGAACCATTGTGTTGTATACCTGAAACCAATATGTTGCTTTTTACATATAGTATTTCCATTATCCAATATTTAATTATGCACTAGGTTACAGCAAACATTGTAACCCTATGAAGAGTGAATTTCTACCATATCTGGATCAAAGCTTTCTTTGTACAGCTTTTGGACTGTCCTGGGAAATGCCAATAAACTTTCTTAAAATCCTCCCAAAAAAAATCCCTCTCAAAAACTACTAGTGACTGAACATTTTTAACAAGGAGGAAAAACAGCTTTATTTTTCCCATTAATTCCAGGAATGTAAATAAGCAAAACATTGTGACGGCTGAGGTGAGAACAACCTTTTACTTTGGTTTATGAAAAGACTCACGTCACCTCAACTCACAGGCAAGGGGTCTCAGGCTCCCCGGAGGCAGTGGAACCCACACCAAGTACCAATATAAGTTGCTTTTTACATATAGTATTTCCATTATCTAATATTTAATTATGTACTAGGTTATAACAAACATTGTAACCCTATGAAGAGTGAGTTTCTACCATATCTGGATCAAGGCTTTCTTTGTACAGCTCCCTCTGCTCCTCCCAGAAGGAGGGAAGGTAGCGAGTAGCTTTTGTAATACGATTCTCATCATTTAGAAATAAGAATGTAAAGTCAAATTACATTCCAATAGGTATTCTGTAATCTTGGTGACAGCTGGAACAGCATCTACCTTGCCTACATTTCCCTTCCCCAAGAGGTTAATGGGATTGTGCCCTGCAGCAAATTGATGACAGCTAATCTACATATTTCCTACATAGACAAATATAAGGTTGGCCAACCTAACTCAAGAGGCACAGATTGGCATTAGGCATACATCCTAATAATCTTCAATACAGACTACACATTTTTAATATTGGGTCTAAGCAAAACTTCCAACCCTAGCAGATGTTGCTGCATAGATTCTCTGGACTGCCTGTGCTGCCCTCAAAGCAGGAATAGGGTGCCTGGATCGCAGGGTCCTACCTGGGCGGAGCTCCACTTCCCTTCATCAAAGACGTCCCCCAGAATGAAGACCACCTCTGGCTGCAACAACCACAGAGCGGTCTGGAAGGCTCTCTCCATTTGCCACTCCCTTGAGGCCAATAGGAAAAAGGCATCAGTCTGTTTCTTAGGTGGAGCCAACATCTGTCTATGGGCCATTTAAGAGATGAATTAAATGGTCCCACCTCCCTCTGCTAAGGCCCCATCCTTGCATTCCCATCCACTGCTTGGAAGGACCGAGGAGTCCGTATCTGATTAAATGTGGGGAACAAAGGCACCCAAGGGGAGTCGGGGCTGCCCCTCCCACATATCTCAGGGGCTGATTTCCCCTGTGCGGTGCCCACAGATCAGGCCCCACACCATAATCCAAAGCCACCACTCAGTGATGAGGGGTCTGAGTGAGCCAAAGATGCCCAGTGTAGGCTGATTTTGCACCACACCCAGGAGATGACAACATCTGGCTTAAGTTTCACTTCTCAAAGGGAGACCTCAACTTCCTTCCTGCCTTCAGAGTTGAGGGGAGACAACGAGACAAACAGAGTAGCCGATATCAAAACTGTAAATCCTGTAGACTTCAGACATACAAGTAATCATCCTGTAGGTAACACAAGAAAAGGAAAAAAGCCGAGGAGCTGGGAGCTGGCAGGCCATAACCTAACGTCCCAGCTCCACCCCACGGCCAGCTGGGCAGCCTGGACAGCTTCCCACTCTCTCTGATTTCTAGTTTCTTCATTGGTAAATGGAGATAATAAAACCTACTCTCCAAGGATAGTCATGGAATAAAATGAGACGACATCTGTAAGTGGCCGGGAAAGCACCGACACGCAGTGGGCATTCAAAAATGTCACAATGTTTCTTAACCCTCCCTTGCCACTTCCTAACCAACTACAGCTTATGTCATTTTCCTAAGGTTCCAAATTCTTTCCTCCTTTTTAAGACATGCCCCCAGCTGCTTCTCCCCTATAGCAGGGGAAGGCTACAACCTGGGCATGCAATAGGTGGAGGAGATCCTCAGGCCCATGTGCACCACTCCATGGTGCACATCTTCACTGAAGGTATGTCTCAAAAACACATTTCTCAGTTTTGCTTGGTTGAATGCTATTTGTCCTGGAGAGGAAAGCATCTAGAAGCCACAAGAGGGCAGGGAAGACTCCACAGGGGACTCATCATCAATAAAGCTCAACTTGCAGACCCAGATCAAGACGAGGGCACTCCAAGCTCACTCTGGCCCCTATTTCACACCTCTTTTGGATTCAAACTCTGAGTAAAAAAGCATAGCAGTTGCTCCATCCTTCCTCATTTCATCCTGCCTTCTTCATCCACCTCTGGAGACATGACACATCTCACCCTCCACCCGACAAAAGGCTCAGCCATATTCAAATCACTCTGAGGACGTTCCTGCTGCCAAGAAGAAAGACCTGTCCAGAGAGGCACAAATGAAGCCATGGTAAAGAAACAGGGTCAAGGGGCTCTCTTGTCCCCTCCTGGCATGAGCCAGGAGCTCTGTCCTCTCACTGTATCTCTACATAAAGGCCTCTCCCTGGCTCTCCTGCCTTGGGTGTGTGCTAAGTTCAGTCTTCGACTCCGCAAACAAGAACCCCAGCATGATCTTTGGGGGCTTGTCCAGGATAACTTTGGAGGTGAGTATCAGCATCCAAGCCTGCCCTTTTCTTTTACTCTCCTTATAGAAGGAAGCCGTCTATGGCACACAACATCGGGCGCTCGTCAGCCACTTAAATGGGACTAGCCTAGCTGCCGATCTCAAAGTCTCAAGCACCAGGTTCCCCTGCGTCTCCCTCAGTGGATCCCCCGTCTCCCTTGGGAGCCGGGAAAGTCACCTGAGTGGAGGCCAGGATTCCCCTTCAGAGGCATCTCCTCGGATGCGAGGGACTGAGAAAAGCCGTGGGCACCTGCGAGAGTCTAGGCTGAGGCTGCACTTCAGCAGCTTCTCAAAGGCCCGCGTGTCTGGAATCACACCCCAACAGCCTGATTGGGTATCCGTGAGGCGTATCTCTCTCACCCTGACTCCCAGCCTGCCTTTTCAGGCCACCCTGGCCTCTGGGTGAAGCAAGGATGCTCTTTACTTACTTTACATGCTCTCTGTGTGCCTCTGACTATGTCAATTTCACAGGACCCGATGCTCACCACCGCAAGGTAGGAGATCCATGCTTCATTCTTATTCCTGACTTAATGCTGCACTTTTTTTATCTCATTAGATGTGTCTGGGCACCAGTTAGCCACTTAAAAGATGATTAGCATTGGCTACCAATCTTAAGTCTTGGGTGAAAGGTTTCCCAGTGTCTGCCGCTCCTTAATCCCCCACCTCAGGACGGACGGGAATGTCGGGGAGTGGCTGAGCCAATTTCCTACTTTCTTATCCTAATCTGCAGACTCCGAGGGCAGACTGGACTAAAAGACAGTAGTCCTGGATTTCGGCCCCAGCCTATTGATCTGATGGCGCTGAGTGAACCTCCAGCTAGGCTGCTGCCTATGCACGGATGACCCCTGACCTCTTGTCTCAGATCAAATTTCTTAGAGTGAGTGACTAGCAGGATAATTCCCACACAGTGGCAGAAACTGGTGTTTATCTCCCTCCATAACTGCCCATAGCAGCCTCTGTCTAAATTCTATCACTGGCCTTAGAAAAAGTTACTCCTCTCCTCATTGAAAACCACCCTCTTAGGCCTGTGCCACTTTCTCCTGTGTAACGTAAATGAAGTCTGTGAAGTAGTCAAGCTGAAACCTCCAGCCCAACATGTAAATGGCTCTATTCTATGACCTCTCTTCCTTAGAGGCAGTGGTCTTGGGACTATTGCATTTCCTTATCTGCAGCCCCCAGGGAAGTGAAAGGGGCTTGTAACTCTTAATGACAACTGCTCTGGCAGTGAGAGGTAACACAGTCCCTGCACTTATTGGACAGGCAGGGGCCTCTCAAGGAATGATCCTGAGTGTACTATGCTAAAGCCCATGCAGAAGAAACTAGAATCTGGATCAGAACTCCCAAAAGGTGTAAAGTAAGAGCACACTGGTGAGGTCCCACTAAACCCAGAGCTCTGAGGCAACTCTTGCTTAGTGGGAAGGCAAGAGGGAAATCAAGGCAAGGTACAGGCCATGCTGGTAAGGAGTGGTATACAGGCCATGCTAGTAAGGAGTGGTGGAGTCCAGTAGGCCTGGCAGAGGAGATGACTGACCCCTGTCACCCAGGCCCCAAGGCGACACGATGCTCTCTCACAGAGAGAAAAGGCCGATCAGGTGTCACACACCTGTCTTTCTCTCTTCCAGATGGGAGCATCCTCTTCAAGTTTAAAGCCAGACACGCCTCTGGCATGCATTCTAAAGAAATGGGAGCAATTTAATCTCCAGGCCCTAAAAAAAATAGCCTTATCTTCTGCATACAAGCCTGGCCTCAATACAAACTCTCTGATGGCGAGGCTTGGTCCCTGAGAGAAGTATACAACATAATAAGGTTGTGCAGCTAAATTTATTTTAATGAAAAGAAGGAAAAAATCAAAAGTCCTGTGGACTACTACAGTATAAAATTGGGCATTCTAAAACTTCCAAAATTCTGATAGCAGATATTAAGCATTAATGCTAATTTAAGTTGAACTGAAACAGACACGTCCTTGTGGTTATCAGCTGCCAAAGTTTAGCTAAAGTCATTTTGAGACAGGGACTGTGGGTGTAGTCAGAGTAGGGTGAGGGCCTCCGGAAAAAGCAAGGCAGGATATTTGCAGTCAGTGCAATGTAACAATGTAAAGAAGTCCCTATTGAAACTCTGTGTTAAGCATTTTGCAAAGTCAAGGTCACACTAATTCTCTACCAGACTAGGAATATAGACATCTTCAGTGAGATCAGTTAAAGGCCAAAAGGCCAGGAACAACTTGGCCTGTAATGTTTGAATGTTCCCCAAGTAAAGAAGGGTACCTCAGCATAACACGTGACTTCACTGTAAACAGCCCTAGCAAACAGACAACAACCCAGCCCACCTTAGGGGCAGGGCAGGGGCACCCTAAGCCCTCAGTTCCCAAAAATCCTCAACCACCTATAAATCCTCTAGACAACGCACCACCCCAGGGCTCTCTTGTCCCTTTCTGGCATGAGCCAGGAGCTCTGTCCTCTCTCTTTCTCTCTCAATAAAAGCCTCTCCCTGGCTCTCCTACCTTGGGTGTTTGCTAAGTTCATTCTCCGACTCCACAAACAAGAACCCCAGCATCAATTTAAGTTGATGTTATCTGTTAAATCCGTCAAGAAAAAAATGTCTCGTAAGGTTGAAAGACTGCAAAGGGTTTTCTAATTGTTTTATCAAAGCAGTTTCTCATATTTAAAGTCTCAATGAGTTGTCTAAGTACTGTGTGACCTTCTGTATTTGCCTTTAAGCTTTTACTGTCATTCTGGTTAAATAGATAAGTATTGTTTCATAGTGACCTATGATTCTATTTAAGCAAGTGCCTTAAAAAGACTTTCTTCTGACAGCTTCCTAAAATCAAACTCAAAAAAGGTGCTTTTACCTCTAGTTAACTCTGATATTTTCCAGAGAGCCCCTGGAACATGTCAGAGGAATTTTTTCTCCCCATTGGGGAAAATATTTGGCTAATTTGGCTTATTTATCTGATATATAATTACTTGCTTAATTACTGGAAAGCATTGTCAAAGGAAATAATGCTAAACTTTGTTATTGAATGTTTTATGTTACAGAAATATCTAAATTTCCTTATGTCAACTGTCTTAAAAGTAAGTTCTCATCAGATCTTTAACCATTGTCATTTGTAAGTCTTTTTGTCATTTATAGTCACTGTTTTATTACTCCTAAACTAGTAAAGAACTAGATTCCAGCAGAGCAAAAATTAGTTACATAAAATTAAGTAAACTGAGAAAGATGATTTTAATTTTTATGCAAATGTTGCCAATCTCTTAAACAGAAAAAGTAGTGTCTGTTTCAACCTTTTTCTCTTAAGTTGATTTACAACAGGTCTAGTAAATGACACCTTTATAAGCAGAATTGAAACATTTATCTTTCTCTCTACCCTCCAGAATTTAAAAACTTACAGTGAGTATTTTTATACTTTATGGCAGTATTTTTATTTGCATAAGTTCAATAAGAATCTGCTTTCCTTGTAAGAGGACCAATTAAAAACACAGGTTATATTACCAAGGCTTTGACTGGAATGTCATACCTGAGAGACATGTGCATAAACTCAGATATGAACAGCTTTAAGGAACTAAGGTTGACCTTATAAAGCCAACAAACCCCTTGGAAGAACAGGCCTGGTACCTTGCTTACAGGGTTCCCAGCAGCCTTACCAGGTGAGTAAGGAATGTCAGTCACTTCCTGGCAGGTGCAGGAACCTCAGGAATGTCTTGGGAAACTCAAGAAGAGAGGAATTCACCCAAATCTACAGGCACTGCAGGCAAAACCTGAGGGCAGGTCTGGCTTGGCTTTCTGGCCTGAGAGACCTTTAAAAGTTCAATCTGAAATTCTTACAAAAAGTTCCAACAAAACACATTTAAAAGAGCCTATGTAATCAATTGCTCTTCTTGCTGCACTTATGCAAATAATAAAGCCAAGTGTTAAGCTTATTTTCTTAATCTGGTTATCCCTAACAAAAAATGAGGGTGATTTTAGAGAAAAGTACTGTTTCAATAATGCAGCCTTATCTATATTAAATCCTAATACTAGTCATTGGGACATAGACTAAATCTAGAATTCTAGTTCCCCCAAGATATCTGGCTATGATTCTCAATTAGAGTTATACTATTTCTAGTTCTCATATTCAGCCATGCACTTTTCTTAAGGTATGATTGATATACACTCTTATGAAGGTTTCACATGAAAAAACAATATGGTTACTACATTTACACATATTATCAAGTCCCCACCCATACCCCATTGCAGTCACTGTCCATCAGTGTAGTAATATTCAGCCACACATTCTTAATCTCATCAAGTTTGTCCTTCCAGAATAGAAAATCCAACTCTAGATGTTGCTACTTAACCTAATAACACGTTTTGCTCTATCTTGCCTAGAAGCCAGAAAACTTCAAATAGTTATAGAAATGGAAGCCCATCTTCTGAGACCCTCTCGACTGACCAGTGATGGAGACCTAACTGCACCCTTTACTGTGCCCCCTCTCAGCATGAAGCAGCCAAAGTGGTTGTTGCCCCCTTTCCCTAGCAGTAGCTAGGGTGTCTACCTATAGAGGAGGGAATGAGACAGGGACCGTGGGTGTAGTCAGAGTAGGGTGAGGGCCTCCAGAAAAAGCAAGGCAGGATATTTACACTCAGAGCAATGTAACTACATGCAAGGAAACCCCCTACCAAAACTCTGTTAGACATTAAGCTCTAGAGTCATTCTTCAGTGAGAACAGTTGATACTTCCCAGATGAAGGAAAGTAGACCATGTTTCTATTATGTTAATTGTTTGTAATCATGTGTAAGATTCACTATAGCATGCTAAAAGGAACTTAATATCTCATCAAGGACAAAACAAACATCCTAAGGCCACTTTTAACAAATCCACACCCTAAACCCTTTATCAGTTCCCAAAAATCCTCAACTGCCTATAAATCCCCTAGACAACACACCACTCCAGTCTCTCTTGTCCCCTCCTGGCCTAGCCAGAAACCCTGTCCTCTCCCTGTATCTCTCAATAAAAACCTCTCCCTGGCACAAAAAAAAAAGAAAGAAAAAAGAAACAGGGTCAAGGCATAGGGTCAAAGGGGTAAGAAAGGAGGGAACATCATGATAAAATAAGCCAGTCAAAAAAGGACAAATACTGGATGCTTCCACTTATATGAGATTCCTAGAGTGGTCAGATTCATAGAGAAGCAAGTAGAGTGGTGGGTGCCAAGGGAGAAGGGGGAGAGGGAGTTCGTATTTAATGGGTAAAGAGTTTCAGTTGGGGAAGATGAGGAAGCTCTAGAGATGGATGGTGGTGAGGGTTGCAAAATAATGTGAATGTACTTAATGCCACTGATATGTACACCTAAAAATGCTTAAAATGGCAACATTTATGTTACAATGTATTTTACCACACTTAAATTTTAAAAATCCTTCTGGTAGGAAAAGATGGCCTGTGCTGGGCAAGTCTGAGTGGAGAGACAGGAGCTGACCCTCCACCAAGAGGGACAGCCACGAATCCGCTCTGCTCCCCCTTCTGAGCAGAGCAGGGAGAAACTAATTAGCTCAAATCCACATACCAGTGACTGCGAGAGGGGCCCACCACCCCAGGTGTTTCCTCCCCTGCCCACGGGAAAGAGAAACTTAGTTGACCACCCCCACAGGCTTGGCTTTGCTGAGGGTATTTCCTGGCCTGTGAAGAATCTCACATGAGCCCCTTAGGAACAAGGAAGCAGAGATGGGGAGGTACAGGGGAGACGGCCCCACTCAGAAGACTCAAGTAACCTGTCCCAACTAGCAACTTGTCCCAATTACGACTCAAATCCAGACTTGCCTTCCAAATTTTTAGTTCTTATATACAACAGATGGTCAGTAAATTAAGTTCAAGGACAAATCAAATGCCCTACATGTCCTTCTTTGACAGGAAAATAACTAGAGTACCCTGAAGCTACTGACCCTGACCTGTGGGGAGAGGGCTATACCTTTTCACCTACAGGATTTCAGAAATATTCCTGATTTTAGCTCCTACCTTCGTAATTTGTCCAGCCAATGGCCTCTTACTTCCCCAAGCAAGTGGGTATCAGCCAAAAACATGGCTTTCAACACAGGTTCAGGAGACTCTTGTTTACCATCACGAGCTGCAGTTTTCATCTCAGGCCAATTACACTGAAAGATGACTAAGTAATAGATTAAAAATTCACAAAATAAAAGCATGGCAAAGATAACAGCTATGAGTTTCAACAGCAAGAAACTCCTCTTTAACAGACAAAAATTGTGCCTTTCAAATTCCAGTCTGATGATAGCCATTTCTTCTGCCCAAGAGTTTCAGCAACCAAGGGTCAAATCCAGGAGAAAACTGTCGAATCCTGGGTGAGGTGCAGATGGTGTCCAGGTCTTACCCATGTACCTACAGGGTAATGGGAAAGGATTGGATTATGTTCCTTAATAATGCCAATATCACTAGCTCCCTCCATTAAGAACTAACAAGTTACAGAATCCTATCTACATTCCCAAATAAATGAATTGTCCTGTACTTTTTTTTTCTATTTTTTTTCTTTTTTTTTTTTTTT